AGGGTTTAGGGTGTAGGGGTTGGGCTTGGTAGGGTTGAGATTCGGGTTTAGGGTTTTTAGGGCTTTGGGTTTGGGGTTCAGAGCTGTGTGGGTTTGGCTTTAGAACTTGCCCTGGGTTTAGGAGTAGTCTGCGCGGACTCTTGTGGGGTTTGAGGTGATTTAGGTCCAGGTATTGCTTGCGGGTTTTTGGAAGCCTTTAAGCGCACTTGCTGGCTTCATGGTTCAAGAGTACAAGTACAGTGGGGCCTGTGAATATAGGGGCTGAAACATCATCTGTTTTGTCTTTCTGTCTGTCTGTCTGTCTGTCCGTCCGTCCGTCCGTCCGTCCGTCTGTCTGTCTGTCTTTCTGTCTGGCTGTCTATCCGTATCTATCTACCTGTCGATCTATCCATCTACCTATTTTTCTATACTGATATTTCGTCGCGAGGCATAAATCGATCTACCCCAGGACCTTACAGTCACTAACTATTCATGCCCCCATGATAAGCCCTGCACCCGCAAAAAGCCTATAAAGCCTTATGTTACCTGAGACCTTCACTATAGCACTTTAGTGGTCGCACGGTCGCATTGAGGCTGTGAGCGTGAGTTTCGAAGTCTGGAAAATCTGGCGTTTCTGTTTTCTGTTCTAGGTTTAGGAGCTAGTGTTTAGGGCTTCAGGGTTAAGGGCGCCTTGTTCACGGTCTGGAGTTTACGCCTAACCCTCCACAAGTGGAAGATCAGGTCATTCGACGCCAGCGGCAGCTACTCCTTCTGCTTCAACGGGAGGACCAGCTCAGCTGCTTGGGTTTTTTACTTTTGAGGTGTGCAGCTGTGGTCCAGTGGCGCATGCAGTCAGAGGTTCCTACAGTCCGGTCGAGAAGGTTCTCCGGCCCACGCATCTCAGTCACTGCCGATGCAGTGGGGTTCACGAATATCCGTCACCTCCGAGCCTCAAATCCGCAAGACGAGAATCCAAGACCGCAAACCTCCTGCCCCATGCCTACAACTTCCCACAACCCGGGCCGCCGCAAGCCGAAGCCCTGTGGCCGAGATTGCAACTCTTTCTTTCGCGCGTCTATCCAGGTGTACATCCATCCATCGACCTACCTAGCTACTTGCCTGCTTTCTTCCTTACCTAACCACCCAGCCAGCCATCCATCTACAAACATAGACAAGTCTGTACAGAAAAAATAGGGACATGCGTTTGTTGGTATGCCGAATTTACATCCCTCATGCCTCCAACCCCAGACTCCATCATCCCCACAGTCGACCAGGAGCTTCGGACAGAGCTGTCCAGCCCCCAGCCATCGTTGCTGGCTTTGGTGACTTGAGTCCTGTAGGGACTTTGGCATTCAGAGGGCTGGAGAGATTTGAGATTTGTTTCTTGAAAGGCAGTGTCATGAGGTTCGGATTCAGGCTTGCGGCAGTTGCGACCGTTCGGCTGCAAGCATGCCGGCCGTGATGCTGCAGGAGTGCCAGTGGTTGCGTCGGTTGCGTGCTATGCAAGCCCCTGCACTTCACTTGTGTGTTGAAAGCCTCGCCTGCATTGCGTGAACCTGCGCAGCAAAGGTCAATCAACTTGCCTCCGTCCTTTCCGCTGAGGATCGGGTCGGGTTGGAGGATTTCGGGGTCCTATGGGCTCCCCACCGAAACCCAGCAGCTTAACACTTTCAAGGTCTCGGGTCTTCGCGGGTTTTTGTTCGGAGCCCTGGCCCTTCGGCCTCTGACAAAGCACTGCAGCATTCCAGTGGAGAAAGAGGGGAAGATCAAGGCCTCCTTTTGGGATCTATAATGGCAGATGTTAGAATACATACAGAAATGCAGCTCCCCAAGATTTCTTCTCCAGCCTTGCCGCCTTGCAAGCCCCAAGCCCTAAAGTGGAAGCCCCAACAAACTTCACGTTTGGTCATGTCACCGCCTGGAAACTCCTGGCCGGGCTGGGCCCTTTTCCATTCTAATTCATTATTGTTGTTAATGTTATTGTTTTTATTGTTGTTGTTATTATTATTACAACCGAATCTCTGTACAGGCCGGAAGCTGCATTGCCTATTCCAGCGATTTCACATGTGCGTGTTGAGTTACTTGGGCTTGTAAGGCACTTCCAGTTTCCTGAACAGGAGCAGCGTGTTGCAGGTTTGGGGTTTCGATTCTTTTCTGGAAATCGGCTCGATGTGTACATTGCGGCAACCTACGCCACAGTAAATCGCGCTTGGCCTCAAACTTGTAAGGAACATCAATGAGGCCAACAAGCTTGATTATTTCAGATGGCAAGCCTTTAATCTTGAGCTTCTGAATCCACGTGAACCTGTGTTCGTCTTTAGTTTGAGGCGGGATGTCCAAGGTAGGAATTAAGGCTCCACAGAGCTGAGCTGAGGCTAAAGCCCAAGGCCCGCAAGGCCCAGCAGTCCAGGCCCAGAAAACCCTTAAGTCCACCGAAACCTAAGAGCCCCTCCAAAACGCTGCAGCTACGATTTGCTATGCCCCCCACATGAGCGGATCGACAGACCACCGGAAGGCCCGCCCAGGCCGAGTTTCCTGAGAAGATGCCCGTGGCCCTGCAGGGACTTGGGATTTTCGGGGGCCGGGGGGGGGGGGGGGGGGGTGAGAGACGCGTGGAGGTTTTAGATTCTGGGTTCCGGCGTTCAGTCCCGATGTCCATCATGTCGCACGCACGGCAACTGGTGTTACTGAGTGTAGAAATGGGATTTCGTAGCAAGTGTGCTGCGTCCGGTTAGCCCAGAGACTCCAATATCCCTTNNTATACCTTAAATCATGTTAAGGATCCTACTATAATTTAAGGTATACTCCTTACTTAAGGGATATTGGAGTCTCTGGGAAGTTTGTTGGCTGTTGGTTCACGCTTCGCTTCACATCCGAGCGCGGCGCCCTCGAGCCTCAGCAAACGGCTTGCTCAGAATGTTGTCAGCCAATGGAGCTCGACATGCTCAACCCTGAACCTCAAACCTATAACAATAATAATAATAAGAAGAAGAAGAATAATAATAATAACAATAGTGATAGTAATATACAGTATAATATTAATAGTACTAGTACTGACTGAAACAATCCACCCCGCGCTATGTGGAACCCTAAGGATCCTCAACAAATGAAAGCATTGAAGCCTTCGACGTCCCTCCAGCCAAGACCTTTAAGCCCCAAAGCCCCAGAAGGTGAAGCCGTGCTTTGCACGTTCGGAATTCTCAAAGTTAGGCCTATTTTCGGAGCTTGACGGTGGCAGTCAGACCCCAAACTCGAACCACACCACTAGACACCAAACTAATCTGAAACTTAATCCCTGACCCAAGACCCTATCACGTCATCACCGAACCCTACGATTAGAAAGCCTAAGCCCTGACGAAACCCGAAACTGAACCCGAGACCCTAAGCTTAAAACCCTCGGCCCTGAACCGTTACGCCCGAGTGCAGAGAGCCACATGACAGCCGGGCCGGGCCCAACACCCAGCAAGGAGGCATAGCGGGAGGGTGTTGGGTTTTGGAGTTAGGGTGTTGGGTGTTCGGGTTTAGGAGTCAGGGTGTTGGGTGTTCGGGTTTGGCAGTTAGGGTGTTGGGGTTCAGGGTTTCAGGGTTACGCCTGGCGGGCTTGAGCTTGGGGTTCGGGGCTTCGGGATGGTGAGTGGTGGGGGGAGTGCCCGAGACTTGGGAAGTCATGATGCTAGGTTTTGAGCTGCCCAGTAGAGTCGCCTCCAAACGCTTGGCGATGAAGTGAGTTCTAGTTTCCAGACTTTCGGAGTTTGGACTTGTCCCCTTCGTAGGCCAGTTGCGGCCACTGCGGCGCCTCGTTTGTGTCACGCATCTTGGCTGCAAGTTCAGCGTTTCATTCTCCCTAGGAGACAGTTGGGATCCGAAACGGAGCAGTGTCAATCTGTAAGTATCAGCAAAGACAGAAACCGCCCTCGAGTCCGAGAATCTGTGAATGAAGACGCAGGCAACGCCTTGTTCAAGCACCTGGCAGAGAAATGCGACCCCCTGGCTGCCAAGGCCAAAGAGGGCAAGGACCGACGAGGGCTGAGGGTTTCAAGCCAACTTGGTCTACTGAGTCTACTGTATCTTGTAGCACAGTTTTTAAGGAAGTATGGCATAAGTTTATGAGGATTCAAGTTGTCAATGGTCCAACTTGTGGGTTTCGAGGATTTGGTTTGACGGGCCTGAGGGTTGCAGGCTGATGCAGGGTGAAGGATGTTCGTCTTCAATATGACATGGCCGAGTTTTATGTCCGGGGTTTCGGCCTCGCGTGCTTTTCGAATCCCACGCTTTGGGGGAATTACTTTTGGCAGTCCTTCAGGCTTAGCAAAAGAAGCAGGCCTGCACAACAACTGCTGCCCCAGCTTCCCCCGTGATGCTCATGCACGACCTTTTCATGCAATGTTTCGATAACTGGATGGTGAATTCGCACAGCATGTTCTCAATGCAGGAGGCTACGTACCACGACAACTCAAATGTATACCCCGTCCAAGAAGCCCAACTCAAGCTTCAAAAAGCCAGCCCGCTACATAACCCCCCTATGATTGCGAAGCTTCCACATTGCCTTGGACTCGAAGGGAATAAATACTCCATTCCCTTCCTTCAGGAGCGCCTCCTTGTCGTAGTCGGCTACCTGGGCTCTCGCTACCGCTGCAGCGCCTACCAGAATGAGCGGGAGGAGGCCACACTCCCCTCAGCACCTTGGATACAGACGCCGTCGCGCCCACTTCTGTGCTGGAGGCAGAAAGTAGATTCAACAGTAAAGCTCGATATTGCATTAGTTGTTGTCATCGCAATTTGTGATGTTTTTGCGTTTGCAGCATGCCCAGAGACTCCAAAATCCCTTAATTAAGGAATATACCTTAAATCATATTAAGGATCCTACTATAACTTAAGGTCTATCCCTTAATTAGGGGATATTGGACTCTCTGGGTGAGGCCTCAGACCTCGAGGCAAGGCTAAGCCCAGACCAGGCCGCGGTTCTCTCCCAGCGCCCCCACCTTCCCCCAAAAGGCTTAGGAAGTTCCCAGAGAGCCCAATATACCCCTTAAATAAGGAATATGCCTTAAATTATAGGGGGCCTTAATATTATGATTCAATTAAATAAGGAATACACCTTGCCTTAAATTATAGGGGCCTTAATATTAATGATTTAATGAAGGGGTATTGGGCTCTCTGGGTTCTAGTTGTGTTGGAACCCCGGGGCCTGGCTCGCTCTACCATGAGCTCTTGGAGAAAGCCAAGGTTGAAGGGGCGGTGATCTCGGCAGTGCGCCGTGCCTGGGGGAAGGACTCTCGATCTTCGGCAGTTGCGAGTACCGTCTGGAAGCGCGTGTTGCAATTTGTTGAACCCTTCGGGTTAAGATCCTGAGATGGAGGAACCATGGCTTGGATTCTAGTCGAAGTTGGCGTTGGGCTGTCAATCGCCATGTCAGGTTGTGGCTGCGGAAGAAGGGTGCGGCGTTATCAAAGCCTGTACTGCGTACTGCCCACCTTTCCGATGCTATCGGGTTCAGCTGATCCGCGGTGGTACGGTTTAGAGCCTTTTCTTGCTCCTCGGAGTCTTCCGCCGAAACAAGGTTTGAGGGTTAGTTCTGAGATGTTCTGAGGTGACTCAAAAGCACAGAATGCTTGCAACCTGATGTTCAAGAGCTGAGCTTGCCAGCTTCAGAAGCCAAGCCCGAACCCGAAAGCACCCAAAGGACGTCTTCTTGTCCGCCGTGCGCAGCGCACGGACGGACCGAGGGTTCCATGCGGCCGAGAACGTTCTCATCCTTACGCTCAGGCGGGCCACCCTGGTCACAAAATCAGGGGGTGTAGGGCTGAAAGGGCTTGGGGAGTTTATGCTTAAGCTTATGGTTTAAGGCCCATTTATCTTCTCGGATTTTGGATTCATTTGTTGTCGCTTCGAGCCTCGGTGCCTGAATCGGGCGACCTGTGCCTGTGCTCTGTGATCGGGGCTTCGAGGCCAGGCGGCTTGGGAAGCGCTAACTTGGGCATCAGCTCTCAGTCCTGGGGCCAGGGTCCAGCAGTCTCTCTCTGTCTCTCTCTCGCTCTCGCTCTCGCGCTCTCTCTCTCTCTCTCTCTCTCTCTGTCTCTCTCTTTTGTACATGGGTGCAAGGTTCGCGCCAGATCGCGGTTGAAAACTGGACTACTGGGGCCCTCATGGCCCTAATCCAAGGCCTTGCCTTCGCGACGACGCTGCCCTGCTCCGGGAGCTCCGGGATTCCGACATCCGGCTTCTCTCGCCGGTGGTCCCGGTATCCTCCTTGGGGCCTTCGGCAACCATCTTTGACAAGGTACTCCGGCCACGTCCAGACCGACAGTTGGGGAGTGAGAGTTTCGGATTGTGGTTTACGTTTCTGGCCTTTTTTTTGGCTTGGGCCGGATGTGTTCTCCCAGTAGGTCTATGCTCCGCGGCGACGATCCTTCAACGTCTACATCCCGTATTGGGCCCTCATGACCGAGGCCCGGGGGAATTTTCCTGAAGCCTGAGATGCCAGTCCTCTTGCCGCCTCGCCATCTGCATCCTGTTTCCAAGGGTTTAGGGTTAGGGTTTAGGGTTTTTGAGATGAGGAATCCGATTCCAACGATTGTTCCCTTATCCCCGTTGACCATTGCCTTCGAGGAATCATGTCATCTGTTGACCCATTGTGGGTTGAGAGGTCTGCTTCCGTAACAGGCTCTGTTGTATCCAGTTGGAACCCGTCAGAATTGCAGTGTCATCGAAAATTCCGCCGGCCTGACCTGATCCCTCAATCACACTCGTAAGCTCAAAGAAGTGACGTCTTACGCTTGAACCTGAGCCCTTTCAAAGCCATGACCTTACGTCAACCCTTACAAGACGAGGAAGAACCTAAAACCCCCTCTAGACATCGCCTCCCTCAGGAGGAAAAAGCTTCCTTTGTCGACAACAGAAGGAGTCTGGGTGGCGAGCTTTGGCCGCAACGAGGAGCTGTACACCGGGTTATTGGGTTCAGGGTTGTCGGTGCTTGGGGTTTTGGGGATACATCCTTTTGAGAGTGTTGAGGTTCTGGGGTTTTGGGGACTCCTGGCGGTCCCGAAGTTGACGGATCCTTGTCGCGAGGCAATGCGGCACAGAGAGAGGGTGATGGGTGTGCTTCCATCCATGCAGTCAAATCCCACAGACTGAAAATTGGGAGAGCCCCTCAACTCTGAAGAACCCCAAACCACCCTAAACCCTAAATTTGGAGAAGGACGAGGCTTCAGTCTCCGGCGAATGCACCTGCTCTGGGCCTGAGGTGAAGCGGAAGGATGAGGGACCTCCCGAAGAACCCCCGAAATTGCGAGACCCTTCTTTTTAACCATGAACTCCTGACTCAGAAATGGGGCAAGTCTGATGACGCAAGATCCACAAAGCCCATTGCAGAACCTAAAACCCTGAACTCATAGCAGCGCTTTGATGGTGAAAGCTGTTGCTTGTTTTGCAGGGATCCCAGAGACTCCAATATCCCTTAATTAAGGAATATACCTTAAATTATAGTAGGATCCTTAATATGATTTAAGGTATATTCCTTAATTAAGGGATATTGGAGTCTCTGGGATACCCCTTTGA